GGAAAGGCACTCTTATCAACGCCATGGTCAACTATGCCCTGGGGGTGCAGTGGGAAGACACCTTCAGATTCAAGCTGACCCAGGAAGCAGCAGAGGAACCCAGATCGGAGAGCCCAGCCCTGGTGTCTGATGTCTATGAGATCCATTACAATGAGACCTTCAAAATCCCCTTCTCCCTCATGCTTGTAGACATCCCAGAGATTGAGGATGAGAACAGGTTCCAGATGGCAAAACATATCCAAGCCGTGCTGGCTGCCTTGGGCCTCACTGGGGGCAATAGTGCTCTCATCTATTTAGTCGGAGCCTCCCAACCTGAGGCTACGGTGGCTCAGTCTTATGTGTTGGCTCGCATTTCTCATTCTTTCCCTGAGGAATACAAGCTCCTGCTTCTAGTGGGTGCAGATGGCCAAACGACTCCTTTCGTAGAAGACTTCATCAAGGCCAACTTCCCCTTGACTTACTTCAAGTGCAATACTTCAGCTCTGCTGGCCAAGAATGCCAATAACGAGAAGAACGTGCACATTTTTAATGAGAAGTCCTGGGGGGTATACACTCACAGCATGGAAACTTTGTTCTCAGATTTCCAGTTCTTTAAGACCTAAACACACACCCTTGGCAGAGCACCTTCTTGGAGAGAAAGCCAAGTGCAGTGGGTGCAGCTGCAGCCCCAATCAGAGCCCAATGGATGACGCTTCTGCTAGCCAATGCCCTACGTGCACATTCTTCAAGTCAACTTCCCTGCTCTTAGCCAAAGCTTTACTGCCTTGATTATTCATTTGAAGCATTCTTCATTTATATTCTTACATTTTATATTCATACGCTTCTGAAAACCTCCCCCCTCTCGCACAAAGTTGTATGTTTGCAGTCCGTGATCCCAGAGTGCTCCGCACCTGTGCATTTCTTAGAAGTTTCAACTGTTATAGCCTCTCTACTAATTGCAGGACACATCCCAGAGTACAAGCGTTTCATGGCCTTGTTACTGGAGCAGGCACAAGACAAGCTGAAGAGGATGCTGTAAGTGTGCTGGTGTTTTCCCTGCTTTTGGCCTGCATACCAGGTAAGAGAATGGAAACATGCAAGTCTGAGGTACTAAAAAAAATGGCTTGCTCAACCCCAGAACCACACTCTTTTTGTCTAGTCCATTAATCAAAACTTTTATCAATAAACTCATTGACCATGGTTAGTTTGCCATGCCTTGCCCTTTCTTAATTGTGAATTCTGATCAGAGATGGCAAAGGAGAATTGGTATCATTCTCACTTGTGCTTTTGCTTATGGTGTTTCAGAAGACATTGTAGGAAAGCCTGGAGAAGAGTGTGATAGTATTAGGCTGCTCCAGGAGAAAGGGCTTCCTGGCCCCCTCCCTTGACAATTTGGCCTGGCCCTAACCTGCAGGGCTTATAGCCCTCTCAAATCTCCTTCCAGTTAAAGTCCTGCCATCCTGGGTTTTCTTGGTAGCATCTAAAGAGCCTGATCTCAGCAAACTCAAGTCCCCCAGCAGTGGGCTGTGCTCCCTCTGGTGCCTGAGGGGGCCTCTGATTGGCATGAGCCTGTGGGCCAATTTGAAATGCATCACTGGTTGCTGGGCAGACTGGCAGTTTCTGGCCCAACAGGGAGCCCAAGCCCCTCACCCAGGTATGTGATGCCAGTCACGTAGGCAGAGGGAGCAGATTTCCTCCCTCCCTCAGGAATGTATCCAGCTCAGGTTACCTAAAGAGATTGGGTAAGGTGTGTATCCTCTGCTGGGCCCATCCTAACCAAATTGTCACAGAGCAGAGTTTTTGGGGAGAAACAGAGTTGGCCTTCTGCTACACTTCCCCCACTCCTTTAAAAGCTTGGACACATGGCTTTACAGAGCTATGGGTTTGAGCATGTTTTGTTTGGAAGGGTCACCTTTCACACCTAAAGAGAGATTACACAACACACAAGGCTGGTCATAACAACGATACACATAGTACATTGATGCACATTAAGGAGCTCCCACACCAGAGCTCTTTCAGGTGGACCTGAGTCCATCCGACCCACTACCCAGAGTTCTTTCACTATAGGGCATCCACTACCACAGTCTGGCTTCCCTTGTTGTGTTCAATGGTGAAGTTGAACTGTTGAAGCTGTCAGGCCCATCACTGAAGCTTGGCATTGGTGTTTTGCATTGTCTGCAGCCATTGCAGTGGAGCATGGTCTGATAGGACGGTGAACTGCTGCCCCCACAAATAGGGCCTCAGCTTGTTCAGCACCCAGACGATTGCCAAAAACTCCTTCTCAATAGATGACAGGTTCCACTCCTGAGGTATTGACTTCTGGCTTAAGTACACCATGGGATGTCGTGTCTTTCGGTGCTCTTGTAGGAGTACAGCTCCTAGTCCTGAGTCGGAGGCATCAGTGGCTACATAGAAGGGTTTATCATGAACCGGTGTCTTCAGAATTGGTTTTTTGATCAGGGCAGCCTTTAGGGTATTGAATGCTTCCTGGCACCCCTGCTTCCAGACCACAAGACCAGGGCTGCTCTTCTTGGTCAGCTCTTATAGGGGAGCTGCCATTGCTCCAAATCCAGGGCCAAACCACCTGTAATATCCAGCCAAGCCAAAGAGGGCTCTGACTTGCTTCTGGTTTTGTGGGGGCTGCCAGTCTCTAATGGCCTCAATCTTGTCCCACAAGGTAGTAGTATGACCCACACCATGTCCCAAATATACCACTTCAGATAGTGCCCGCTGGTACTTTTTGGCTTTCACAGTAAGACCAGCTTGCTTGATCTTACCTAACACGGTGGTCAGATGACTCAGTTGCGACTCAAATTTCTGACTGAAGATGGCGATGTCATCGATGTAAGCCATGGCGAACTGCTCACATCCTTTTAACAGGTTCTTAATCAGTCTTTGAAAAGATGCAGGAGAGTTGCGCATATCAAAAGGTAAAACTGTAAACTCATATAGTCCCACAGGTGTGGTGAAGGCAGACTTGGCTATGGCATCTGGATCCAGTGCCATTTGCCAGAATCCTTTGGACAGATCGAGAGTAGAGATGATCTTAGCCAGGCCCAGGTTATCAAGTAAAGTGTTCATCCTGGGCATAAGGTAAGTGTCAGGGGTGGTAATAGCATTCAGCTTCCAGTAGTCCGCACAGAACTGGATGGACCCATCCTGCTTCCAGACGAGTACCACCAGGCTGACCCAGGGACTCATTGAAGGCCGGATTATCCCTAACCCTCTCATCTCTGTCATCTCTCACCTTCTTATTAACCGGGTAAGGTCTGGATCAGATAGGGTGATGGCTGCCCGTGTGTATAGAGTGTACTGCCAGGTTTGGTTTACCTGGTTTGTTGGAGAACACTGTGTCAAAGTCCTTGAGCGTTGCAAGCAGCTTGTCCTTGTCCTGGGAGGGCAGATGGTCCGGCAGACAGAGTTCCTCTATTTCTGCCTCTCCATCCCAGTCACCATGCATGACCGGCTCCTCTGGATCCTCAGGTGACCCTGCCACTGAGGAAATCCAGAATACCACATCACTTCTATTAAAGTATGGTTTAAGCATGTTCACATGAACTGTCTTCGGCTTTTTCCCACTCCTGGTCACTACATAGGTCACATCGTCCAGCCTGTCCAGGATGACATGGGGACCCTCTCAAGCTGCTTGCAGCTTGTCTGTCTTCAGTGGCAGGAAAACCATGACCTTATCACCTCGTTCAAAGTTACGTAAGCGAGCCTTTTCATCATACCAGGCACTTTGCTTCTCCTGGCCCTGGGCCAGGGAGTCTCGTGCCACCTTCATCATGTCAGTTAGCTTCTGAAGAAAACTGAGCACATATTCTACCATGGAGGTCTTGGTGGAAGAGATTTTGCCTTCCCACTCTTCTCTTACCAAATAGGAGGACCCCGAACTCCCTTCCAAACATCAACTTGAATGGCAAGAATCCAATGGACTCCTGGGGCACCTCCTGGTAGGCAAAAGCAAATGCAAAAGTTTTTCATCCCAGTCATTGGGGTTGGAGTCCACATTGGCCTTTAGCATACCTTTCAAGGTCCCATTGAACTTTCCTACCAGCCCATTTGTCTGAGGGTGGTAGGCTGTGGTCTTGAGGTGTTTCACCCCACAGCACTCCCACAGTACCTTCATCACCTCCGCCAGGAAGTTCCCATCCCTTTCCATGAGGATCTCGGAGGGAAAAGCCAGCTGAAAGAAGATCTTGGCTAGGGCGTCAGCAACTACAGGTGCCTTGGAGGAGGTCAAGGCAATTGCCTGCAGGTACTGAGTTGTGAAATCCACTAGAGTCAGGATGTATTTCTTCCCTCTGTGAGTCTTATGCCTCAGAGGGCCCACAATGTCTATCCCCACTCTTTGGAAGGGCTGATCAATGATAGGGAGGGGCTGTAGGGGAGCCTTTCTCTTGTCCCCACTTTTGCCCATCCGCTGGCACATCTCACAAGATCTTCAGTAGTTGGTCACATTCTGGGCAATTCTGGGCCAATAAAAGTTCACCTGCAGCTGCTGGCCTGTCCATTCCCTGCCCATGTGACCAGCACAAGGTAAATCGTGAGCCATGGGAAGCAAATGCTGTCTGAACTTACGAGGTACTATGAGCTGGCGATGGGGTTCCCAGGTCTCAGTATGGTTCTTTGGTACCCACAACCGATAGAGGATTCCCTTATCCCAGATCACCTGTTCCCTCTTATCTGGGGTGAACTCTGACTCTTGCTCCTGAGCCGTCTGCCAGAGTTCCTCCAAGCTGGGGTCCTCTAGAACCCCCTGCTTGAACTCCTCCTGCCTGGCTAAGCCATCAGCAGGGAGGTCTGGTGCTCCTGTAAGGAGTGCACCTGCACCCTCAGGGAAGTCCTCTATCTTCTCCTTGAGAGTCTTGGTTTCATCTGCCACTGACTGACCAGACTCCTCCCTAGGGCTGTCACTTAATCCAGCCTCAAGGTCGCTAGTTTCCTCAGTGGCTGGGGGCTGGTTGCAGTCAGAGGGAGTCCGAGTCTCTCCCTTCTCCCCCTCTGCCCCACTAGCCAATTGGGGACCAGGCCCTGGAAAGTTTCTACTCCTCCTGTCTGAGCCTTTCTGCTTTGTGGACAAGTCACCATGGATGGTCAGATGGATTGCGAATTGGCTGAAGGGTCGTACTCAGAGGGTGGTGGTGGACGGGTCATATTCGACCTGGGGGGAAGTGGGCAGTGGAGTCCCCCAGGGCTCGCTCCTTGGGCCCGCGCTGTTCAATTTCTTTTTCAGCGATTTGGACGATGGGGTGAAAAGCAACCTGTTCAAATTCACTGATGATACCAAAATCTGGGGTGAGGTGGGCATGCTAGTAGAGAGAGAAAGACTGCAGCAAGACCTGGATCGGTTGCAGGGGTGGGCTAACAAAAACAGGATGCGTTTCAATACGGACAAGTGCAGGGTGCTGCACTTGGGCAGTAGTAACCAGCAGCACACTTATAAGATGGGAAACTAACATTGAGAGGGTCCAGAGGAGGGCCACCCGCATGATCCGGGGACAGCAGGGCAGACCCTACAATGAGAGGCAACGGGACCTGAACCTGTTCAGCCTTCACAAGAGAAGGCTGAGGGGGGACCTGGTGACCGTCTATAAACTCACTAGGGGGGACCAGAAGGGTT